TGTGATCCGGTGGGTATCCATGAACATTAGTAAAAAAAAAAAAAAAAAAAAAAAAAAAAAAGAGCTGACACTCTGGTGACTGAATGGGACCCATGTCATGACTCTGTGCTGGCCATAGGGGAACACGGTTGGTCATTCAAGTCAGGTGATCTACTTTATGGGTGTCACAAGAGACCACGACAAGAACTACAGCGTCATTTTGACACACTTTCTGGTTTGATAATAAGGATGCCGTCACAGCTGCTAGACGTGCTGAGGTTTGTGCACATTATAGAGGATTGAGCAGGTTTGAAGTGACACCAGCATAAAGTGACCTCGTGGTGATGCTTGTGATGGTTCTGCACTAGTTTTAGGTGCTTCCTGCATGAAGGGCGAAATTTATCGTCGGTTGGCTGCGTGCTGACAAATTCTGACCATGCAGATCCAGAAATATGTTTCTTCACGAGATGGTGGTGGAGTAGTTTTCAATATTAACTGTTTTACCAGTAAATAATTAATTGATCTTTATTAATAAAATCAGGCACATTTAGAGGACTGATGTCTATGAGTGTTTTAAATCTGGTGCAGACTGATTGGATTTAAGGGGACTTTCTGAGTGCCATTTAAGTTTATTTGTATGTTCATTTTTTGATATTACACAGTAAAGAAAGGGTGATATATCTCAAACTAGTACACACTGTGTTGTTAATATCAGCTTCAACTCTTTTTTTTAAGTCCCAGAAAATTTGGTTGTAAAAGTATATTTTAGTAACAACAGATATTCTGCTCTTTACTTATTATCAAGCAGATTGATGCTTGACTAACTCAAATACTGATGTTCATCAGTACTGTGTTGGTGTCGTTTGATCAAATTTGACACGTCAGATTCCAATTCATATGTCGCCAAATCTTGATCAGTGCACAAAAATGCATGACGTTCATTTTCAGAAAGATCTGCGCACACTTCAAACCTGAGTGCAGACAAAAAAACACATGCAGATAAAACAAAGATGCTGATTCATGTACCACAACACTCATAGTTAGCAGTTGATGTTTTCAGGGCCTTTAAGAGAGTGGTGTCATCCAGGATAAAGACAAACCTAAGGTTGTAATGGTAGCTCAGAAGATTAGAGAGATTTAACAGTTTCATTCTGTGTAAAATAACAAAAAGTATAACACTTAAACTCTATAAGTCCCATTAGATTCCTTTCTCTTCCATCTAAGATCAAGACATTCAGAATCAGTGCAGAGCCTCGGTCACTGGGAAGTGTCTTCATGCTGGTGTTTACTTCCTCTAAACCTGGTTGACACATGGTGGTATCAGATACTTTCAGATGATAATCAATGGCGTACGTTTCTGTTTTGCAGTAAATTGCAAATCTTTGTGCAGGTGAAAATACAATATAGAGATTAACTTGGCACCAGGGCTGAGTTCAGTTCACTATCAAGCAGCTTGAATCAGAAAATCCCTTTGCAAACTGGCCATCTTACAGTTTGCTTTATAACTAAATTATAAGGAATCATTGTGCATTTTATGTTATGTTTTATTATATGTTTGTATTATTACCGATACAGCTTTTGACTTCATGAAAAGAACTGAATCCGGTCCTGTTTATGGAAAAAAAGTTAATCTGTATATTGTTATATTATTATTTTGTATTGGATTGATTATGAGAGCGAAGCACAAACCAGAAAAAGATGTTTCATTTTTGTGTCAATTTAACAGCTATCTTTAAGATTTCCAAACTATGCAATAATCTCTAACACAACCGATTCACAGCAACAAAGAAATTGACCTTTATATCTTTCAGTGCCAGCTGATGCTGCGTGAGGAAAGCAGCAGCACATGTACTGCACACACAGTGTGCAGACGTCGCTCCTCTGTATCGCTCTCTGTTCCTGTGGGTTTTGGTTTTTTTGGTTTTTTTGTAAAGTGGTGTTTGCTTTTGTTCTGTGAATCTGATCATTTTTTTCTTTTGTGTCATTTGGTGCGAAAGGCAGTTGTGAAGGAATCACTTTGGGAAGAGCTATAGTCACACTGTAGTATATCCTAGCTTACTATTTTTATGTTTAATGTGCACTTTGCATCTTAACCACTATAAAGGGCATTGAAATGTTCTGCACACGTGCAACATGTTTTATTTAGCCGGTGAATGGAAAAGCAGTCAGAATAAGTTGCATCCTGAAGGGTCGGGGCTTCTTCATGTACTAATGATACATATGTCTGTATCTCTGTTGTCCATGGGTAAATCCAAACCCAACAGCTGCTGCTAAACTCTTACTTCCCTGTATGATGCTGTCCAGATGCCCGTCCACTGTGGCCACACTCTGACCCGTCACAACACACAGTGAGCTCAGCATCGGTCGCTCGTTTGCATTTCAGCATTTCTAAATGTCGATCCATGTCCTCATATTTATTTTTCGATGTAAAATATATTTGGCAAAGGCAAATTGACTGTTTCCTCACCAAGTCACATGTAATGGTAATTTCAGAGAATGTACCTGTACACTGAATGTCTGCTTTGACGAGAACACACCCAAGGTTAGATGACCCATGAAGGCTATCGGTAAAAAAAAAAAAACAACAGTGAGAGAAGTAATAAGGCTTTCGCTTTCTTTCTGTTTTTCGTTTTTTTTAATTCAACTATAGGGTGCTTAAGGTGGTACTGCAGTATTGTTCAAATGACCCATGGTGACTTTTGTGAAATTGTTTCTCCTGTAAACACTAGAGACTAAAGACTCCCTCACTTCTGGCACTTCATGGTACTCTTTTCCTCTCAAGACTTGAAATAGATTGATAAATGTTGTTGTGCTTAAAACAAAATTCAAA